CCCAGCAATAATTTATGACCCAAGGACTTACCCGCACGGGCTCCCTTAGCTCATGTAAATTTGTATCCAAGTAAATGAAACCCACTAAACTGGGGTAATGCCGGATACATAAACGGTACAGAAAGATATCCCACTTACTACGGTTCTTACATACATATTTATTAGATGTAAGTATGTTTTAAGTATATTTTCGTTGGTGATTGTTTAGAATCTTGTCATGACCATTTCATTACAGGCTTACAACAAAAATTTAAGAAATGTGATCTTTACAGGTTTGCTTGTAATTTCCACCAAATGCATTTCATGTGACAATTTCTTTATACGTCATTTAGCAAACAAATCACTCTACATTTTTATCAAATAATGCAATTGAAGCATGATATGCGGTTTGTCTATAGTCTACGTACTACGTACATTCTTCAAGCAGTACACAAAGTTTATTGGGAAGTTGGCCAGCGCTGGCGGATCAAACGTGCGAGTTTAATACCAAACTTAAATCCAGCAAAGGCGAAAGTTTGCGTCATCTATCCGCTGACCTCTCGTATAATGTGACGGGACTAGGAAAATAGTTGTATCGAGAAATTCTTGGGTGTGACATATTCTCCTAAACTGCCTCGCGTTACGACCGGGGGTCAGGCTTGTTAACTTCCGCTGTTTCCTTTATAATGTAGGATCTGTCTTTGGATACATACAGCGAATGCATAAACATGAGAAACATATCGTTTCTAATATGCATATTGTTAAATTATTTGCGAATTTGTATTACAAAAATGAGTCTCATATTGAGAAACACTAGTCTCGATACAACTGCCTAATCCAGTACTATGAGCCAATAAGCCTCAGTTTTCTTTAAGTAGGTGTCAAACTTTCTTTCATGCATTTGTCTTTGCTTCCGTGCGCTTTTTATGAAGACCAGACGTCTTTGCAAGGCCTTGCAATGAAGTAAAGGAGAAATGAATTACAAAGAATTTAATTTATCTATCTATTTCCAATACATATATTGAAATAATGATTTATACCTACTAATTGATTTCTAATTGATTGACTTAATAATGATTTATACCTATACTTTAAATTAATTAGGGAAAAGTAGATTTATAAATAAACAACGATTTTATTTCTATCTGTGAATTTATATTTAATTCTAGAATTTCTCTTTCTGTCTCTAAGCTGGCATTATTTTCGTAAAGCGACGTTGAAATCGCAAACTCTCAGTCGCCTCGCGTTTCTTACTAGCTGCTTTAAGATTTCCTTCGAAAACGAGCATAGACACCGCGTCGCGGCAAGCACGACGCGGCAGCTCGTCAGGCATTACGAGGTGAAATTAAATCCGCGCGCAGCTTTTACCATGGATTTATATTCGGATGATCCGAGCTTTCTCTTTTGCAAATCCTTGCAAAATCTCTTTAAAACCTCGGGCTTTCGGGGGTTTCGTAACGCGAATCTGTCGAGTGTCGAGCTTCAACAACAGAAGTTCCTCCGACTGATCTACGTATATTCTCTTACCACCCGAATGGACTTTTGATTTATTACCGTGGATATTTCCGATCTTTGTCCCTATTCTAGGAACACAGTATAATACTACAACATCATGAGCATACATTCGTAACTTCATTTTTCATTTGCTCTCACACACATGTTCGTTGCAGTTCTCATTTACGCTAAACTTCTTACGTTTTTCATGTTCATTTGCAATATAAATTAAAATACTGAAAGGTCAACCAGTTTTGTAGATGCAAATTCGAACAGGGAATACACAAAACAAGATAGGAAAGATGTAGAAAGCAAGGTAGAGAGAAAGTTAAAAGACGAAAGAATAGGGAAGAACGAGCTGATTGTTAACACACGCCACAGTTTCATCGTACAACTACCAGTAAACCGAGACGAAGAGCAACAATGCATCGGTAAGAACAATCGAGCGACTGTGCATAACAATCAACCGGGCTCGAACAGGAGTGAAAAGGACGTGAATGAATAGCGTTTGAAGGAGCTTCTTTTAGACCGTACCGATCGCGACGCGGAGGTCAATTGCTTTTATCGCACGAATGCGACGAAACGAGTGAAATTCTGCGTGCGTAAACGTTCCATTGATCATCAATGCATACGATGTATAGTCGTACGTCTTTGCTCGCGACAATCGACCGAGCCATTAGCTTTGTTGGAAGTATTTCAGTATTACGGACAACGAGCCGGAAAATCAACCCACTCTGTCTCGTACCGAAAGCAGAAAAGCAAGAATATTGGGACGCCGTTCGACATTTGTCGAGATATACGGTGATGAGCAAAACTGAGCAACCACAAAACTTCTAAAGGTATTGCACAAATTGGGATGCTGCACAAGTTGAAAATACTGTCAATCAATCAACTGTTATTAAGTTATATTTCATTACTTATTTTTAAACGAAGGCGATTCAATAACAAACATTAAAATTGTATAGTTATACAATTTTCAATTCAAACTGGGAAAGACAAGCCAGATTATTATTTTGTCGTTGAAGACGAATTTACATGTTATTTTCAATATGCGTGAATCGCGTCTCACATCCATAGTACATAAAAGAGGAAAACTGAGGAATTTATATCGTATTAAATACTAGCTTATTTGAATGTAACATAGTACAGGTTTAACTTATATGAGAAACTTAAATAATCGAAGTTCCTTCATATTTTCTTAATACGATTTTTGTATTATATGGATTTCACTTATTCTTTTATTTTAATAATTTGAAATCGAAGGAAATGCAGTGTTTTACAAACTAACTGAAGGAAATTTCAATATTTTTATCAAAATTCTTTAACGATAATCATACTTTCATATCTTTCAATTGATATGTTCTGTTGTGATTATTGATGCTGAATCTTTTTTAATATTGGTAGAAAGCTAATAAACGTTATCCAAGTTGTCTGGCAACTTATGGACTGAAACGCGCACAAATCTCGCGATTCGAGAACGTCGGATTCAACAACCTGAATCACATTTCAGAATGAGTTTTATCGAATTTGACTGTGGTCTCGGGTTCTCGAGAGAGCTTTCTGTGAGTAATTTTGAATCGCATACGTGTGCATGATATAAAATTCTCGAAAGTAGCATATGCGTGAAATGTAAATTATATTTTATTTATTACTGTATGGTTTTACTCTATGCTTTTCTTTGCATATAATTTTTATTATTCGAAAACAGAGATTGAAGAAGTGAGTCAAACGTAGAGATTAAGGAAGATGGTAGTTAACGAACTTCGTTTAGAAATCACACACACATTCGAAATTAAAGCGTTCTGAAATATCGATTTATTTATGACTCAGTTCTAGTACTCCGTTCAGCAAACTTCAAAGAGATTTCAGAGAGGTAGAATTTACGTACTCTACTTTCAAACGTGTTTAATTCACCACTTTAATTTGAGTGATACTACAAAGTAATTGAGGGCATAAACGATTTCTACTTACTGTGCAAAATTAAATTATTTTTGTCATAGCAATTATACGATATCGGGTTTTTCGTTTTTACGTAACGATGTGGCTGGTCGCATCAATACGGAGCACAGTATCGATTTGATCAGAGATTGGCGATGACGCGAAAGGTGGTGGTTACGCGTGCATCGTTGAAGGCTCTACAAAATGCACTTGATCCGATGGTTCGGTGAATCTTCAAATTGATTGCGTGAGTAACCTGCCGCGGTGCAATTTCTGCGACACAATGTGGCTATGCGAAACGTTTCTCTCCTGAACGAGAATGCTGGTGCTGGCGTCACATTCACGAGAAAATTAAACCTGTTTTCATACACGCGCTTTTCAACTTCGAACATGAGATTTTATATTTTTTATATAGTTGAAAATATATAGAATTTACGAAGTATGATTGTTGTCTATATCGTTACACGTTTATATTTATAGAAATAATATGCAATATTGAGCAGAATAAAAATGTTTTCGGATCATTTAATTTCAATAGTTTCGACTAGATTTTCGTCTCTCGTTGTGCATCATTCGAGGGTATCGCTCGATGATGATCGAAATGACGGGCTAGATGATCGAAATGACGCGCGATTCAATTCAACGTCAATGACTCTAGATAGATGATCCTCGTCGTGATAGCGATGTAGTTAAAGGCAACGGGCAACAGAAAGAGAACAACGAATGGGATAACAAAAGAAAACGCGACAAGAACGCAAGCCGGATGACTTTGTACATCGCTGCGAGTTTTCATTTTACGAAGCGCCACGAGTGTTCTTTGATTCGGTTGGCCTGTATAGCGAATAAATGTTCGCTCCAATTCACTTCTTTCTCGCGGAAAGAAGGCTACTGGATAAGGGAGCAGTGCAACCCTCTGTTCTCGCCGTCTCCACCTCCACTCTCTCGTCCTCTCTCTTCTCTTCCCTTTAAGCTTCCTCATTTTTGATTCTATCATCGGAGAACATGTACACTGTTTTTCAGTACACCGGGCACGCCTTTAACGATTCCCTAGCTCACCTCGAAAAAACAAGCTTTCTTTCCTAGTATGAGTTACTCGCATCCAGTTTGATGCGTGCAACCATCTCCAGGAATGAAAGAAAAGTAGTTAAACAAAAGGGGTTATTGTTGTTCTGCAAGCGGATGGCGTTAACTTGTGCGTGAACGTAGGTATTGTTACCTCTAGCAAATAGGCATCGGCCGCAACCGTGGAAATGTTAGTTGCTGAATGCGATACGAGTGAGCTTCTTCGCGTTCTTCTTTCTAATTCATCTATCAGTTTCTTTATAATCGTTTAGCTAACGCGCGAAATTGTTTCATGTCCTTTGCATCCTTTCAACTCTGATTGGAACGTTTCGGGATTTTGATTCGTAAACTTCGTCCAACTCCGATTTTTGCACGTTCGATTCATTCGATAAATCCTATCTAGTTAAGTGTTTCTATTTTCTATTTGTGGAATGAATACAAAGTGTAGAAGATAACTGAGATACAATTCCTCGAAGGTGGGTCACATTCTCTGTATACATTTCGAAATTGAAATTCGTGGCACGTACCTGCGGTATCCGAAAAAGTCGCAGAAGGTTTGCTACTTGAATAGATGTGACCGAGCTTGCCGCTCCGACGACTCCGCTGATAACTTTTCGCACTGCAGTTTTGTTGCAGTGATATTCCGCGCCGTCTATATTGCTTATTGATCCTGAAACACAAATCCGGTCGAGTCCAAATTAATTTCACGATTAAATGCGTTGATTTATATCGTCTCTCGTGAATCTACGTACGAAGGAGACTATATGTTTGATTGCGAAGTCCTTCAGGGAACGTAAATGGCAACATTAGAAGCATTTCGATCATTTTTTAAGGTCAGTTGAATTTCTTTTTAATTTGTTTTAAAATACAGTGAACGATGATATTCATTCATCCATAAAAGTAGCATTTCTATCTGTTTTATACATGTACATTACGTATATTTTTACTTTTCGTTTACATTCTATAGCTACGTACTAAATGGGCTTATCGTTATGATAACGTGAATAAGAGATAGTAAAACCGTACTTTTTAATCTATGGAAAATATATGTAGGTTCGCTCTTAAACGACGCGATGTGACAGGTCGACGCAGTGTTTGCTTTTCATTTAGCTTGCAATATTTCAACTTTCCATATCAAAGGACATGTTATTTTTTAGTCGTCCCATGCATTTTTAAAAGAGGAGAGAGAGAACGGTTCCCAGGTTTTAGTTTTATATACTGAGTTTCACTCAGCCACTGTTGTTACTACTTTCAAAGAAAGTTTAGACCAATCCATCCACCGAAAGATATATTTTTTTGTAAACGTTTCTCTCTCCCTCAACGAGAATTTAACTTTATGTTAGGTACATACAATGTGGCCAACTTTTTTACGATCATATCCTATACCTACTGTATGTATTATATGTATATCTGACATCGTTCTGTTAATAACAGGTAATATTTTTTTATAGTCCATATTTTTGAAGAATTTCACGTTATTTTTATATTTATTACTATATCACTTTAAAGAGAAAAATGCGTGGATAGTAAGTGAAATTAAATTATTCCATGAATATCCATGTGAAGTTGTAACGGCTTTAGAAGTCCAGCTATCAAATTGAAATTGCTAGTCCACTTTAAGTGTTAAATTAATGGAAATTTTGCAGTGTACATATTTGAATTTCGCATGATAGTTTGAAGCATTTTGGTACACGCGATCTGATGATACCGTTAGAAGTTCGGACTTTTGCTACAGGCCGATGATTAAATTGTCCATTCCTTGAAGCTGTCCGTTAGCCGGGGCTGAATCCAATTTTAAGTTCTGTGTATCTTTCTAAGCTTACTGGAAACCGGGACGTGATTTTGCGGTTAAGCATCGCGTGACGGAATTCTAGATGACTTACTTCTACTTCTTCTACGTCTTCTCGTTGATTTTGGAAGGGACCGTAGTTACAATTTTACGCTTCGATTGTGCCGCGCGCTGCAGATACGGAACGTGACGAACGTGCTTATTTAACTTTCGTTGAAATTCAAATATCTACGCTTTATCGATTTAACTAGGTATCATGCAAGTCTTGCATCAGAGCATATTTCGTAATATGTACACTATCGTCTCTGCTTAGCTTCATTAAAAGTTTCCAGATAGTTAACATAGTATATTGCATACATACTGTCTATAGCGAAGTGCTCATTATGAATTAGAAACTAATTGGAAATATTGTATATATTATAAAGTGTTTGACCAAATGCGAAAAAATTAAAGGTAAACAGGAGTTATTAAAATTCTTAATTGAAAATAAATTAATCATCTTTTGTAGCTAAAATAATTATCTCAAATTTAATGATTCTGGGGTTCCTTAATAATCTCACTATTATTAGAATGTACTGCGTATTACCGAATTTTTAGTACATACTTTCGAAATCAACAATCACATTATATCAAATTCATTCGGATACATATGAATACTAGAGTGGACATTATGCAAAATATTTTTCGCTGGAACAGAGAATTGTTTCAGGTGAATATTTTATTTCAATTGAATACTTCTTGTCAAACGAATGTGAATCATTTCTGACTCAAAGCAATTGCGAATTATTTCCGTCTTTTCTCGTTTCACCATATTGAAATGTTGTCAATTTATTTTACACTACGTCAAACGTCATTCGTTTTGTTTGTTATCCGCTGTCGTCTGTCTCAATGAAGAGAAGTTATTGGAACGCGTTGTCGAGTATAAATGAGTTTCCCTTAAACGTTAAGCGTCATGAATTTGTTCCAGTGTTTGAAATATTGCTAAAGAGTTAAGGAAATGCATAAGATACAAGAAATTTTTGACGGTGATAGAAAGGATACCAGTTAATTAGTTCGTTTTCAAAGAATAAACTGCAGTATTTACGTCGTTAAGAAATTTTAGTCAGAAATGAACCATGAATACTTTATTCATAAGAAATATGAATATATTATTCAATGAATTTTCAACGAATATTTCTTCCTTAGATATTTTGTCATTAGAAGATTTATAATTGACCAGGTCAGTAAATAATTGTTTACATAATGTTAATTGAACTGTCTGCTTGTCGTTACTCTGTAGCACGTAGTAGAACACGTTGCAGTGCAAGCAGTAGAACACTTTAACGCAAGTCAGTCAACAGACACCGGTAACCAGATCTCATGAATCTTGTTGACGTTCTCAGTTCATTTATTATTGTTTAGTGCTACATTATGCATTGTTGTCTCGCATCGAACGTTTTCATTAAATAAATAATTGGTCATTCGTAATTTAGACATTGTCCGTTTAATTATCTTTTTGTAACAATATACTTTTACGTGTTCTCAGTTTGATCCGCGATTATAAACTACGAAGTCGATGAATATTTAAGTAACTCGTTTTACTGAGTAAGAGTTCCTGAACAAGAATACCATTTAACGCCACTTGAAGTAATTACTAAGTGGATAATCTTATCGGAGTAACGGTTACCCTATCTAACTATGCATCTTCTGTCGATCGATCGTCTTACCGTCAACTACACTGTGAATCAAAAGTCATTTATTAAACCAGTTTTGTTTATTTTATGGGTGAAGTCTTCGTAAACCTTCACCATCAAATGTCTGCATATTTCCTGAATTGTAAATTGCTAGAAAAGGCAAATAAAAACATAAAGGTGATGCATAATTATTTTCATCATTATTAGTATATAGAGTAAATAAGGTACTTTTGACTCATACTGTATCTCATTACGAAGTAACGGAGATTAATCGCTGTCCTTCGTTAAGGAAGAATGTATTACAGTACAAGGCGCCGAATGAATGGACTTATCGGTGAGTGATCGATCGAACCGGTATCTATTACAAACTCATTTATTAAGAGTCACTCGAAGCGATGCAACGAGGAGATTGACGCATTTAATTAAGAAACCCTGGCTTCAGAGGGTATTATATCCATCTACTACAATGTTCTTCAATCCTTTCTGAGTTACGATCCTCCTTTACAATAATAGCGACGTAATTTGAGACTGATTTCTGTTATATAATTTGGCTGTGCCTCATTACATAGAATTTAGCACAGGAAAGAGGAATTAAACCCTTTTTGAATTTTTTCTCACATTACCGCATCATCTCCAATTTATGAACATGAGAGAATAAGATTGTATCCATTATGAAAATTTCTAAGAAAATTACTTGGGCTTTAAAGTTAAATGCATATCTATTAAAATTCTGGGTCATTAGTATAATGAAATATGTGTCTATGTAAAGTAACTTAGTTGAAAAATAATTTTAACTTAGCTAACGTGGTTTCTAATTAATCAAACGAGTTAATGGAATGAAAAATTCAAACCGAATATTTAATATTTATTTATACACGTTACATTATACACTACGTACTAATTAATAATATGAATATCGTAGCAGTATTAGTATTGCAATATACGTATAATTTTTGGACATAGATGATTCAATACACTTACTCTGGAGATTCAGGTACACAATTCAGAACACTTAACACGTTCACTGTACCGTGCACCAGTTGTACTTGATGTATGTTGTGTGGTTCAGCCACGTCCCGTGCAACACAGGTATAATGCACGTATATGTATAGTATTCGATTCCGTCACATCCTGTACATTATACTTGATACATGCGTACGATCTACTCTCTGTATTTGACGGATCAACATTCTTCAATTTTTTTTTTTCATGCTAGGCATGTTTGAATGTTTACGAGGCAGATTAGGGAGCAGAATGTCCAGTCAGATATTCAACAAATTTTATGTACGCATTCATCAAATGCGGAATATCGTATTTTCGATATAACTGACTAACAAACCAAAATATATTTATAATGTATTTTTTGTTCAGAATGATCTGCTCAATACGTGGGTGAAATTCGTTGAATATCTCACTGGATATAGACAATATTTAAATATCTAAGTGAAGTTGTAAATAAAATGGAAGTATGAATTGATCAGACATTATTTGGTGACCTCGGAAGTATTCGCAACCGACTGATTCAAAGTTGTCCTACGGGGTACGCCGAGGTTCGTATTTTTGGTCGGCAAGATATTGAAACAACGAAACGTGCGAGCCGTGAAGTACGTTTTCGGTGGAAATTAATTAATTAAGCCCATCCAAAATTCATAGTGTCGCTCCAGCGCGGGAGGATAATAAAGCTACGTTTATTCGATATTCTCATTGGAGCGCGACCGTACGCTTCGCGTTGGTCGATTGTGTCGTCTCTTGCTCCGCGTTTCATATTAATATGGTAATAAACCCGATTTATGAACCAGGTTGCAAATTGTTTCGTTATTGCGCCTGTTATCTCGGATCGATTAATCAGTTTATGGTAATGGCAGAATCGTTGCAACAAAGAAATAAATTCGTTGGTAAATCGACGAGGCATCGTTCGCTTTGACAGTGGAACAGTATTAACGCATGAGGCGTGTTATCAAATTATTGTGCACCGAAAAAGGAGATGATTTCGTGCGATGATGAAACGAATATTTCGTTTAAAATTTTCGTATCCTTTGTGGAATATTTCAAATAAATTTTAGAGATCCTGTTACCAAATTATAAAAATTATGAAATTCGTGGAAATCGGTGGGTCGACTATAAAACGCTTGTCCTCATTAAAACACGATTTACTTTGTGTACATCTCTTCAAAGAGACCGTATTTTAAAAAAA